CAGTGGTATTAATTGACGACAATGAATATTACATGTTATAATGATGACCTCATCGTTTTTGTCAATTTTTCATCAGGATTATTTCCCACCTAAATTTTAGCCATTATTTTTCTGAGGAAAAAAATTAATAAAGTATTATTGTATTGTTTTAAGACTTCTATTTTAACTTTTACCCTTCAAGTTAGTTTGTATTCATTCAGAATCAAATTCTCATTTGTTATTTGTTGTAATAGTTACGCTTTGTTTTTGTTTTTTTGCAGGGGAATTACTCTGAGTAGGCGGAATAGTATTGAAAGTCAAGAGATGAAAAGGCGAAGTCCCAGTCCGATGTGTCAAAGCAGAAGTGTTAGCCCGCATATCAAACGAAAGTCAAAGGCACACAAAAAGCTGAAAGCCGAAAAAGCACATAGTCCATCACGGCAGATTTGTTCACGTAGTAGATCTGTAACTCCATGCTTGTTGTCAGAGCCTGAAGAACCAGTATCAAAAAGTAAAAAAAAGAAAGAAAGGAAGAAGTTGAAATTGCTCGGGAAGGATGAAGTCAGAAAGAAGTCTAAGAAACATGGAAGTAAAGTGAAAAGTGTCATTGAAGAAGATTTGAAAGTGTCAGCAAAAAATGAGCTTATAAGCCCAACTAGAAGTCCTGCACGCAGTATAAAGAAAGAACCTCCAAGTCCTCTGTATAGTGTCCAAAATGAGCTTCCCTTACACAGGCTTACTCCAGAACAAACTGTTAGTCCAGCCAGAGTGAAAGAGGCTGTGAGTCCCACAAAATGTGTAGATATTGATCCTGCTACAAGGATGGATAATGACATTAATGCTAAAAAGAAAGGAGACCAAAAACTTGGTGGAAAAATAAAAAAACAGAAAGAGTTTTCTGTTAAAGGACAAGGACCCTCGCGGTTGAAAAAACATGATGAAATGTCGCCACGGGAAAGGGTTTTGCCAATAGACAGGCATGAATTTGAATCTGAACATAAGAAACTGAAAGTCAGGCATGACCCTGATAAGGATAAAGGGGAGGATGTTGACAAGCACATCAAGAGGAGGAAATTAGATGATGAACTTGGGCAGGCATTGGAAACGTCTGATTTCAAGCCTGTGAAGAAACCAGAAAGAAAATACAGTTTAATTGAGTCAGTAATTAAAAAAGAAAAGGCAGAAAGAACACTGATACAAGTAAAGCCTATTAAAATGGATCCTGAACATCTACGAAAAAGAGAGGTAACAACGTCAAAAGAAAATGTGCTAGAACCCAGTCCACCTGAGTCTAAAATATCTGGTGAATTGTCTAATAAAAGAATTTTAGAAACTAATAATGATGTTAAAGTAGAACCAGTGGAAACAACTCATGTAGGTGAAAAAACAGAAGTGGAAACTAAAACAAAAAACAATAGTAAAACAGCAGTGAGTCATCAGGAGAAAGTGAGAATAGGACATTTATTTGAAACAGGTAACTGTCTGGCCAGTCCGGCTGACAAACGTTCTGATGAAAGCACCGGAAAAAAGATTAGCATGAAACCTGAGGATAAGTTAGGAGCTGGATTTATTGATACAAGCTTGAGTTTTAGAAAGCAGATGGAGCAAAGAAGAAAGCTGCAACAACAACAGCAGCAGCAGCAACAACAACAACAACAACAGCAGCAGCAGCAGCAGCAGCAACAACAAAAGCAGCAGCAGAAGGAAAAAGTGGCAGAAAATGAAACACCTTCAGAAACACCCAAGTTTTCAGAATTTGAATCACCGGAAGGCAACACCCGGCCTGAATTTCCACAGAATTTTCCGCATAAGCGAAAATACAGAACAATAGACATGTCACAAGGGAATGAAAAAGAATTTATGAAGAGAAGTTATAGAACAAGGCAAGTTAGTGATGAACTTGCTAGTCCTAAAGATGAAAAAGTCACAAAAGAAAAATTCAGGGTTACGCCAGAGAATTCATCAAACAGTCCAAAGCAAGTGATACAGGAGAAGGTGTCACATTCATTGACCAATTCAACAAAGAAAGTAGAGAGAAGCCCTGATAAAACTTGGAAGCTACAGCCGCTTAGTTCAGAAACTACAGATCTGAAAACAAAGGTGGATCGCATTTCTTTATCAGACTCTAAAAGCCATAATAGGATGTCTGAGTCTACTGAACATTCAAAAAGCATTCCACAGAAACCATCGGAAAGACCTAAAGAACGCAAACTGCTTTCTTTTGTACAAAAATATGAAACTATGGACGACTGGGAACTAATCTCGTGTGTAAAAGCTGGATTACAGCAAGTACACAATAGTCAAGATGAAGAAAAGGTGGAAAATAGTGAAATAAAGAAATGTCATTTGCAAGTAACCACTCCAGTACAGCCAGTAAAACATGCTCAGGAAACACCGATGCCTTCGCTCCGACAACTCTCAACACCCTTAGATAGTAGTGCTGAGGGTCCAGATTTTGATAGGACATGTGTTTCAGTAACTGGTGTTGGAACAACATCTGGGCTCTCATCTATTGCTCTTTTACCAAGAACTATTGAGATTGTGGAAAGAAAGAAAATTGGGCGTATCAAAAAGAAATCCAGTGTTGAAACTGAACAGATATCAAGTGCTTCAGAGACACAACCAAGTGAATCTGAAGAGGAAGTGAAAGATATACCTAAACCTAGAGTTATACGGAGCAGTATCTTTGACCAAGACCTTGCTAGACTGGAAAAAACTGCAAAAATATTTGAACCAGATCATGAAGCCAATTTTCATTTTAGTGCAGAACTTGATTCACAATCTAAATTAGCAGATTCAAAAATAAGGACTAAAGCTGCAGCGAAGGATTATCCTTCACTAGTGGCAAGGACAATGCCTTCATTACATCCTCAAACAAGGTTGTTAGACTCTCTGAGTGTTGATGTGTCCCCTTCAGAAAAATCTGATGACACTACTAAACCACCTTCATTGTCTCCAAATAACAGTACACATATCCCACTTAATTCGTCTGTATTGAGAGAATCACTGAGTAGCACTTGTGACACTTATGCTCTTGTCAGTCAAGGTGGAACTTCAATGTCATTAGATAATGAAAATACTGGGGCTGATAATGACACATCAAGCCAGCGAAAACGTTCACCAAGCCCACCAGAATTGTCTCCTCAAAAAGTGGAGTCTCCTGGTCAAACTGAGGAACCTTCTGGTAGGATTCTAGCAATTAGTAAAGCTCTATCTAATCCTCATACAATGGAAAAGGAAAAACCTGAAAACAAATCAAAGTCAGAGGCTGTTACAGAAATTCAGCCTCTAGGAACATCTTTAGCTTCTAGGAGAGAATATTATAAGACAATGTATAAGGTTAGGAGGAAAAATGAAAGTCATTCCACTGATGACAAAACTGAAAAATCAGAAGAAAAATCAAAACCAGTTGAGGACAATGTTTCAAATATCAATGTAAATGTGTCGCAGAAGGATTCTGAATGTGTTAATGCATCTGAAAATGGGTTAAAGCCTACACTTGAACTTAACTTACCGAAAGATCCTGTCATAGTCTCTGCTCCAAATTTTAACAGTACAGCAAAATCAGAATCTGATAAGAAAAACACAGCTGCAGAAGTAGTAGAACCAACTGACAAACCTAGTCCCAAATCAGAAGAACTTAAAACTGGAGTCCATCTTGCGGAAACTGATAACAAAAAAGCAAGGAAGACCAAGTCAAGGGAACCTAGTCAAGACAGGAGTATTTCATCTAATTTTCAGAATGAGGATGCTGGGAAAGGAAAAGAAACAAAAAGTAAGAAGTTAAAAGACACTGGGAAGGTTAAAAAAGTTAAAGATGATAAAGACGGGAAAAGGAAATCAAAATTACCAAGTGTAGATGTTTCTGATAGTGACAAAGAAGGAAAAGATGCAAAAAATATTAGTCAGAAACAAGAAGAGGATAAAAAGAAAGCAGTGAAAAAAGAAGTTAGTGCCAGGAAAAGCACAGAAGAAGAATTATCAGGTGGTAAAGAACAGGAAAAGGTTAAAAAGGGTAAATCTGCTGGCAAGGAGCAACTGAAAAAAGAAAAAAATACGAAACAGAAGGCTAGCAAGAAAGAAACAAAGAACAAGAATTCTGAAACTACTGAGTCTGAAAGCGTTCAGAAAATTGAGAAAGAAAACCCTTTGAAATTAGACAAGTCTTCACTCGAGGAAAAGCTTCCTCCTAAAACAGAAGAAAAAGTGAAGAAAGCAAAGAAGGGAAAAGAGAAGACTAAAAAAGAGACAAAGAAAGAAAAAGAAGAACGAGAACTGGTTGAATTTTTAGAAGAGAAATCAGCCCTGGAGGAAAATGAAAACCCTGAAACTACAGTAAGTGTGGACGTACCTATTGAAGAACCTGTCAAAGTGTCCAAAAAACAAGACAAATCAAAATCCAAACCTGAACGCAAACAATCCAAATCCAAAAAGAAGCAAAGCCAGGAAGATGAAACTGAAAAAGGAGATACACTAGAGAGTTTTGTTAGAAGTCAAAGAAAATCACCCAAGAGAGGTCGGAAGGTTAGATCTAAATATGCTGTGATTTATGATTCTGATGATGACGATGATGAGGAGGAACAGTTAGTGCCACCTGTCCCTCGTAAACCTGAGGAAATTCATATTGATAATGATATGGATGATCTGAGTAGACCACTCGTTATTGAGTTGGGTGAAAGTCTGGATGTTGACAAGGAAAAAAGAGAACCTGAAAAAGCCAATGAATCTTCTACATTTGATTTGGAAAGTCAAAACGAAAAGCATGCAAAGTTGGAAGAGATTCCTGAAAAGCCTTTAGAATCCAACAAGTGTATTGGAGCTGTCAAAGAAGTCAGTTTAGAAACTGATGTACCAAAGGAGGATGAATCTTCTGCAGCTAAAAAGGAATGTGCAGGCAGTGATCAGGGACCAGCACAGAAGTTAGAAGATACAACAGAAGACAATGAAAATGCTCAACTTCTTTTAGCATTAACAGCAACTCCTGCCAATCCAGAAATATCAGAACCACTGAAGTCCCCAAAACGAAGAGGCAGAAAGCGAAAAGACCCCAAAACAGATGTACAAAAAGTGAAAGACAGTCCAGTGAAGGTAAGCCCTTCTGTTCCTTCAACACCCCCTGCAGAAACTCCTGAATCACCCAGTGCAGTAACTAAAGGAAAAAGACGAGGTAGAAAACCAAAGGCACTCAAGATTGCAGAGGCTCTTGAAGAAAGACGTCTAGCTGAAGAGAGACTAGTACTTGAAGAAAAAAGGTTGGCAGAAGAAGCAAAAAATGTTGAGGAGGCAAGAGAGGCAGCAATGGAGCTTGAAAAAATTCAGGAGCTATCTGAAGATTTTGATACTCCCCCAGCTGAGGATGCAGCACCACCAGTCGTATTGTCTCCTCCACAAGTTGCATCTGCTCAAAATGCTGCAACAGAAATTGAAGAGAAGAAATTAGCAGAAATGCCCAAAAGTGAGAAAAATGAAACAGAGCAAAAAGTTGACATTGTGAAAGTTGAGAAAGCAGAGAAGATTTGTATTACCTATCCTATTATACCAGTTGAAATCAAACCAGTTGAAGATGTTAGTAATTGTACTCAAGATACAATCAAAACAGAGCATGAAACAAACTTCCCAGGTGGACATGTCCCAACAGAAACAAAAGATACTGATAAATCCAAGCGTGGACGGCGTGGCCGTGGACGGCCCCGGTCATCTGGTAGAAGATTTAGTGATAGAAGAGTTAGTGTTGATAAACAAGAACAAGCAGCTGTTGAAATCTCTCCAACTTCTCTGCTTTCACAAACACAGTCTGAGACATCAGAAAATAAAGACTCGCAAAAGTCACCTGCAAAAGATGTCTATGATTTCGAAGACTCTCCAGAAACTGAGATATCTTTGCAAAAACCTTCTCCTTCCAGGCGAGGGCGTAGAACCAGAAATGTAAGTGGCAGTGGAAGAATGGGCAGACAACATAATCGAACTTCCCCAAGCCGACAAGATACTTCACCAGTTGCTAGAAGTCATCTTTCTCCCACAAAACGAACACCAACAATAGCTGCACTACATGCATCTGCACAAAGGGATGTTGAAAAAGAAATTGCAGTGCAACCTGATCAGCATAAAACTCCTGCTAAAATTCAACAACCAGAGGTACATCTTGCACCATTGAATGTTGATACAAGTATAGTGCTGAAGAATTCTCAAGTTCAACCATCTCGGGTCCAACAGAGGCTTTTGACCCCTCAACAACAGGAGCAACAGCATCAACAGGAACATTCACCCTCACAACAACAACAACAACAAAATCAGCAGCTCTCCCCAATAATTCCATCATTACTACTTCAACAGCAGCTACCTTCTCCTGTTCTCCAACAACATAAACAACAACAGCAACAGCAGCAGCAGCCGCCGCCACCGCCACAGCAGCAACATCTTCTGAAACAATTCCAACAGCAAACACAAGTGCAATCACATCAACAACGACAGCAGCACATTCAACAGCATCAGCTTCAACAGCAACAAAAACTACATCAACTTCATCAACAGCAGCAACAGCAACAGCAGCTTCACCAGCAACAAATTCAACATCAACAGGAAATTCAACAACAGTTTCAGCTACAGAAGATGCAACAACAACAACAACAACATCATCATCACCAGCAACAGCAAGCTCAATTGTCTTCAAATCCACCTCACCAAACGCAAAGTCATGTATCTCGTCCATATTCAAAAGCACATCATCCACAAGAACAGCCAAAGGAAAGCGAGGTTACTACCAAACCATCTATCAGCGTTTCTGCAACAGAATCTGTAACACATACATCAACTGCTACTGTTGTACCATTGCCAAGAGCCATTACTTCACCATTAATGGAACGTGTGTTGCCACATCCGCTCACGTCACAAACAGGCAATTTCCCAGGAAGTAGTCCAAGACATCCAATAATTACTTCACCATCTCATGTAGCTGCAACAGAGCATAGGACACCAGCAACCATATCTGACCAACCAAGTAGGAGTCCTCAACTACAGCCTCCAAGTAGAAGTCCTCAACTACAACCTCCAAGTAAAAGTCCCCAACTCCAACCTCCAAGTAAAAGTCCCCAACTCCAACCCCCGAGTCGAAGTCCTCAACTCCAACCCCCAAGTCGGAGTCCCCAACTTCAATCTTCTCACAGTGAACGCATGTTCTCAGTGCAGTCACCGCAGGGTTCTTGGAACATGGGTCCTCGAATGTATCAAAATCCACAGCGATTGTTGTCACCTCATCAACAGCAACAACCCTGGCTATATTCTCAACAAAAACAAGAAGTTCAGCTAGGCAAAGAAGGCGTGTCAGTGGCGCAACCAACTGTATCCACACAATCTAGTATGGCTCAACATGTATTCACAACATCTGTTGCCGAAACTGTTCCAGCTGCATATATACTGAACCAATCTGTTGGAAGACAAGATATAATACAACCTTTTCCATTTATGCAGGCACCAACACCTCAGGCCCATCTACGAGATGTAGTTCATCCGGTAGTTTCACAACAGCCTGTTGGTGCATATCCTATGCTCACACTAAATGAATATTCACATGCTGCCCTGACTGATCAAAGTCGACTGAAGGAAGCGTCAGTTGCAACCAGCCTCAACTTACCTGCTGGCAGCAAGGTTACTCCTATAACTGGTGTTGCGTATGCCTTACCTCATGCTGTAATTCACCAAGAAGATCCCAGTACTGGTGATGCACTTAGTAAACATGCAGCTAGAAAGCAGACCCCTATGCAACATCTTCAGGGATATGCAGCAGAGAGAAATGCAGGAGGGGAAATTATGCAGTCATTCCGTAGTGTCAATATGGATCCCGCAATGCATCAGATGCAGGCCCACGGGAGAGATATTCGTGTGGTAACTCCTGCTCCACAGGCAATTTCAGTGTCTGGTATTCAAGGGTTGATGCCAACGTCGTCATCCCAGTCACTCACAGTAGCTGCAGTGCATGGTGTAGCAGCTATGGGGACACAGCCACAGCAACATACAAGTCCAATACAGGGTACAATATCTACAATGTCTTCAGTACAGCAGCCAAGCACACATCAACAAGCAGCATCTAAAACACCAGATAGTTTAACTAGATTACTTCAGGTCAGTGTCAATTATTGCTTTTGATATTGTTTTACCTCCCCACTGATTATTGTGATCACCATGACAAATTATTAAATCAGTTGGTATGGCAACAAATCTTGAAATATTGTAGCACTGAAGCTAGCTTGCAAGAACATTGCTTTTACCCAACAAATCAAACTTAATTTTCTTAGTTGTAATCACTCAAGGCTACTTTATTTTAGGAGAGGCTTCTAAATTTGATTTCAGTATTCTTTTGGGTAAGATTTCTTGTAAATCATATGACATCCAAACTCCTTAGTGGGAACGCAACTTTCTCATAATTATATGTGGTTGAGTTCTAAGATAGTGGCTTGTTTGGATAGCTTTGCCTTTAAGTTTCAGACGAGATAGAAGCTGTTCACTTGAGTGGCCATATTATGGGTGACCGTAATACGCAAGATCTTCGTTTTGGTGGTTGGGGTGGTGTGACCATTATAGGGAAGATCCCAGTCTCTGGAGTGACCGTTATATGCAAGTTCACTGTACCATGTGTGATCTTTATAGACAAACTACCTATTCACTGGATGGCCATTATAAGCAAATTTGAGGTATTGTTCCCTGAGTTACATGTTAAGGTTTGGCAACATGCAATTTTTGGGGTTATAGTAAAAAAACTAGGTGAAAAAAAGTTCCCCTCTGATGTCATATAAGTTTTTGGTACTGTTACTGTGCACCATTTATTAGTGTGAATATGCACAGAAATATTGTGCATAATGTTTATTTACCAATTGTCAATTTCATTCACAACAGCGGTATCCAGTTATGTGGTGGGGCCAGTTAGTATTGAAGAATGAATTCAGTTCCGTTGAGATGCATTATGTATCTGGCAATAAGGACTTAGCACAGCAGTCATTGCCATCACTACTGCCAGGAGGGACACTGCCATTACCATTGCTACGAATAGCACAAAGAATGCGATTAGAACCGTCACAGTTAGATGGAGTATCCAGACATATGCAGGTCAGTATTATGCAAACTATGTAAATCGATTACAATTTGTGAGTTGAGCTAAACATGTCTTAGCTTGCCAATGCTGAATCATGCAATAGATAATTTAAGCGCAGTGGTCATCACGCTGCATCCTGTTCGATGTGGTCCTCATAGCGACGTACACAGCATGTGTAAAATACATCATTTGTTTACATGACTACTGCTCTTTAACATAGTTTTGGCCACTGCTATTTTTACTCGGTTGAGGTTAAAGCAACACTAGATGTGCTGATTTATATTGGGGGTGGGGGTCCCCCATGCAGACATGTACAACTCTTAAATAAATACCTTGTTCACAGAATGTGAAAATGTGCAGCAACTCTGCACAAAAAAAATTATTATCAGTGTTTAAACAACTTGCTAAACCTTGAATTAAAAATGAATTGAATATATTGTTTATGTATTTCAGGTTGACGGTACTTATTGTTTGTTACTTGCACTTCCATGTGGTCGGGATCAGTATGATGTTATGGCACAGACAAAAACACTCCAGACTGGATTAATACAATATCTTCAAGAGAAGCATGCTGCTGGCATCATAAATATTCCTGGTCCAGGTCCAGGATCAAATCAGGCTGCCTACGTTCTACATATATTTCCACCGTGTGATTTTACCCAAGATAAGTTGAGAAGAGTTGCCCCTGATCTGCTGGAAAGTGTACAGGACATAGCACATCTTATGATTGTCATAGCAACTGTATGAGTAATAAAAAGATATGAAAGTGAGGATTATTTGGAGACGTGCGTTCTGGATATGCATGTATCGCATGTAGATATCAGGAATATCGCTGGCATCGGGGAATAATGGTGACTCAGGAATATTGAATACTCAGGAATATCTGTATGTATGGCAATTGGAGAATATCGCCAACTTGGAATACCACAAAATAGCGATGTTATGGATGGTTCTGGAATACTGCCAGTATGACTTTGGGAGAATATCACGGACGTGGAATGCCATGAAATATTGAAGTTAGGGATGACCTTGGAATATGCCTGTATGGACTAATGGGAATGTCACCAACGTGAAGTACCACCACTTTGGAATTGCAGGAAATACTGACATTGTGTATAACCCAAGAGTATTGCCAAAATTGTATACCAGGGAATATCACAAATATGGAATACTAGGGAGTAGCTACACTATGGGAAACCCTGGAATACCAGGGAATATCAACACTGTGGATAAACCCTGGAATACCTGGAAATGCCAACACTGTGGATAACCCTGGAATGCCTGGGAATACCAACACTGGTTATCCCTGGAATACCTGGGAATGCCGCCACTATGGATAACCCTGAAACACCAGGGAATACCGACACTATGAACCTGGGAATACCTTCTGTTGGGAAAATCTATAGAATAATCCAATGTAGAGAGACAAGGAAGCAGTGGATATTCAGGATGTTAGCCTTGGCAGCAAATCCACATGTCCACTGTCTAAAATAGAATATAATTTGCTGCACTTACTGAGGGATACAACTCGACTGTAACTGTACACTGACACTACTTAATTTACATTTGAAAATAAGTGACCTTATTGAAGTGAAAGTATCTCTGGTATTATTTGCCAGTCTCTACTGTTCATATTGTTTATTATTAAGAATTGTACCTTGCAAAGAATAACATATTTATTGTGGTCAATCCCAAGTATCCATTGTACTTGCATTACTTTGTTTTCACCCATATTTATCTGGGTAACTATCCAGGGGAATGAACATGAACTTCTTTTCTGAAATATCATATTTGTTTTTTTAATAGTGCATGTGCTTACATAAATGACAGAGGTGTGTCTATTGTCATAAAAAGTCGTATTTCAAAAATCCAGTACAGGCTAATTCGCTTTTATTGAAAATGCGCTTCTAATAGAGCAAATATGGTATTACACTTGCCAGAACATCACATGCCAATGCACGCATTTCTAGCTTTTATGTCTCTGTGCTGTGTATTTTAGGAATTCATAGACAGTGAAGTTCATTATCCATATTCTGTTCATAACAATTTTGAAACCATTCTGAAGTAAGTCACACTTTTTTACACACATGGAGACAATTAATATTTACGATTGCCTCAAATATCTGGAAAATTGGGATGGGTGCAAAACCACGCATTTCTCTGTCTCTGCAATCAATGTTATGGGTGGGGGAAATTTGTGGGCAGATACCCAGATAATAGCAACGCGAGTCAATGATGGTACCACCGCCGAAGCTTTCGCCTTATTTATATAGCTGTCATAAATATGATTAAGTGATATCCGAATGTCTGCTTTTAATCACATGGCCAATTGCAAAAACGATTCAATTTGAAATTGTGCTTTATTTGCGATACTTGTATATATTCATGCAGTTGCCGCCGTTGTTTTTTGATCATTGGCATAATTATTGCCCAATCTTGGCAAAATCTGGTTAATGAGATAAATTTAAATAATAAAAAGCACTGTTGGATGATGTGTTTACAGTTCTGAACCCTATATCAAGTGATATTCAACATGCTATATCAACTGCGATATCACAACTGGTCATGTGATACTGAAATGAAGCACATTTTGAAGTTGTATTGTCGACAACAATTGGTTGAAAGCTCTTCTAATTTTCTGTTATTTGGTCGTTCAAAACCTGCCATGTCTGCTGTCTTGTTGAATTGTTGTGTTACGGCTGTCAATATTCTAGACGCAAATTAACCTGCTCGTCAAAAGCTTCAAAAACTTTTATAAAGGTAACATCATTGTGTATAGCATCTGTCTCACCACGTCATGGTCCATATGGGGCCCCTAATGACGTATATAACGTGTGTAATAATAATTTCAAGGTATCGTTTTCTCGAAGACAAATTTTCAAATTTTGGAGAGAGTGTACTTTGCTATGTAGCACTAGTGATTTAAACACTGCTATATTGAAAAAAAAATACAATTTTCTTGGTTGGTTTAAACCCTACATGCATTGTGGCTGCCACAGAGAGTGGAAATGCAGCTTTAAAAAAAGGCTGCCATCTTTGTTTTGGTTTTAACCAGCCACATCAGTTATGTAACTACTGATTGTAGACTTTTTATTCTGCTAATGCAGTGTATGACGTTAACAATGAAATCAAAAGCGATTTCATTTTGAGAACTTTTTTTTTTAAAAAGTGAACTCATTCCTAGAAACAGTTGTGATGCAGTTTGTTACAGGAATATAGGGTAGGGGGGAAAACAAAAGGTGTATTTTCTTTTTTGTGATGAAACGTCTGGCCAAACAGTGTGACATAGTGTGGTGTTTTTGAGCTTGTATAATGTTGTGTAAATAGTATATAAATCATTGCTGAAACGTGGCATCAGTTTGTGACAATATTTATTCACATTGACCAACAACAGTGGAAAGATAACACTGTATTTTTTGAATGTTACGTTTATATGCCCTCATCTTTTTCCGAAACATAAATGGCCAGACTCAAAATTGGAAATATTTATGAGACACTATATGTTGAGTACATAGTCTTTATTTTTAACTTGTAAAATACAGAGTTTTCACATTTCACTCCCCCCTCAATGTGTTAATAATAATGTGTATGTTTACAACAGATTTTTTGTACATCTTTTTTTTTTGTCAACTGGGATTGTAAATACTTTAATAGACAAAATCTGATACTTGGTTTCATTCTGTCAACAAAAAATACCTTGATATTTTGATAGGAAATAAAACATGAAGTGAATTGTAAAAAGAAAAAGAGTGATTTTCCTTTCAGCCACACCACACCACGCCACGCCACGCCACGCCAACCCAACCCAAGACTATTCAATACTCTCCAAGATGACATCTGTTCATCTGGGGATTATGATTAGTTGCACAATTCTCTGACTATCATTGTTATCTGTTAATGCGGAAATCTATTTGAATGTGGATGACTCCTTCGAAATGCAGGTATAATATGGATAATTTAAATATTGCATGTGGAGCTTTTCAGATTCTAATAAACATTCAGTTATGAATTTAATGAGAACAAATATAAAGACCAAAACACTCGCTCTGCATTTAAATATAAAATTTATTAATGTTTTACTAGGATTAGACAGCTTTAACAGAGTGATATCTACATGTTTCACACGCGTCTTATCAAAAATTGATTTGAGGATTTCTGTTTGACAGAGGACTGCCTGCCATACTAACTATTCATTTGATATGTATGAATACAACAGTTCAGTTTTTGACTCCCCTGTGTGAAGTACACAACATGTTGATTGGGATCGAATTGAGGCAGCACCATCTGATTATCCAATAGCCAAGGGTCATAACAGACCACTGATGTGTCTTAATGGGTTGCTAATGATCAGAGACAGACTGCACAGAAAGAAAGATTTTTCATACAGTGAATTGCACAGCTTGAACACGTTCTTGAAAAATTCAACATTGGCCTCAAGAGTGATAAACACCGTCTACACCCATAATGTGCCCATTAATTCAAAATGAGTTGATTGAATAATGTAGAATAATCAGAACTACTGGTCACTTGGTAGCATAGTGGTTGTTGCATAAAACTTGTGATCAGTAGATCTAAGTTCAATTCCTACCTTGGGCTGAACATCATTCACTAACGACATTGGGGGAACCTTGGTTAAGGTCTGCAGGTGCTTGTGTTCAACTAAGCCTGGTTGATGTCAGGATAGCGCATTAAAATTGCCATTTGATCGAAAGATGGCCACGCAGCCCTGTCATGTAGTCCCAAACATGAATGTGTCAGCACTAGCACTTGAAATTTGCACATACAAAAATAAAAGTCAGGAGAGACAACAGTGACATTCAATGTCTGGAACTGTCACCTGGTACCAAAAAAAAAAAATAATTAGAACCAATGATGGCACAATACCATTTGAATTCTAGCATTTGAAATGCAGCATTTAAGAAACCTATATAAAGATTGAGTTTTCAGCATCTGGGTATCCTTCAAACACATGGCGATTTGAAGTTGACAATACACCAGTTTCTTTTTTGTTTCCTGCATAGGGGGGTGTTTCTGGTTGTTGAGGGGATTTTTTTTTTTTTTTTTTTGCTACAATATTTTATAGAACATAAATTTTGCAGTTTTCATCAATTCGTTAACAGAGGGCACTGTTCCGTGGCGAAATAAGTAGAAAAATAGATTAACCTACAATTTGTTGAGGGTGGTGCGAAGGCTGAAACATTTATTTTTAGTCTAACATACATTGTAACTTGGTCGTGTACCCAAAGCAGAATGTGAAACCATGCATTGACTAATTTCATCAATGCATGGGTCATTGAACGACAAAACATTTCAGGTTTCGGTGAACCATAATATTAATATTAATGAGCAATTTAAACATCATCCAATCAGCTAACACTTTAATTTGAATAATTACATATTTTAATCAAAGTTGAACTGTAAATAGCTTCTGTGTGATCAGAACAAGTATAGGTAGTATAGGCTTTGCATAATAAGTGAATGGAATTGCATGTAGGTCGATACTTTTACCAAATATCAATAAAATTGATCAAGATGTCAGAGAAACTATGACATATATGAAAACACTAGATTTTGATATGGGCATTTTGAAAAACATGTGAGGACACTATACTTGTAAACAAAGGACACTGAAAGTTAACTGTAATAGACAAAATCTGAAATAAACATGTGAGGGCACTATCACTGTAAAAACAGCTGCTTGTATAGAGATACCATACTCTCATTTTCTTTACGGAAAAACATACAATTTATTCATTTCAAGTTAATTTTTCCAGAGGTTTGGGCTACATCTAGTATTTTGTGATATTTGTGACACCACCTGGTTGTTTTTTATCGCAGCAGTTGTCACGTATGTGTTAGCTTTTGCTAACAGTGAGCACATTTGCGAAATCAACATAGGCAGAAAGTTGTACGGGATTCTGACTTTGATTTTGTTTAATGATACCCCAGACCATTCGTCCCGGTGTTGAATATGACGCACAAAGTGAAATTAAACTTGCGTTTATGAAAATCAGAAAGGGTCCTGCTTTTTCTTCAAACTAAAGAAATGGCTGCGTCATTCTTGTAACTGCGCATGTGTACTCCCATACTCGCATACATTTGATGTTTTTAGTCGCTGTATCTGCTCAAATAACATCCATCATGACATATTAAATCATTATATACTAAAACTCACAAATTTTCAGACCTTCCAATGAAATATTACCAGTATTTTTGCAACAGAATATGTTATAGCAGGGTGCAAATTAGGCTACTCACCCATATTTGTTCAGAAATTTCAAAGACCACTAAGTTATAAGTTAATTAATGCAATAATTAACTAATTAATATGCATGGGAATTGCACCAAAATCTAATCAGCATATCTACTCATCATATATTAGCTGCGTGCTAAATTTCATTTGTATTGAAATTGTAGATCTTGAGTTATCAGTGGTACAAATTTTAGTCACAGCATCACAGCATCATAGACACCGGTAACACATAAGCTCCGTTTCACGAGAGCTAATAAAAACTGAGGGCAATTATTTATAAATGTTTTTCTAAAGGTAAAGCGAAGGTTTCTTGCTGGCACTGTAATATTACTGTAAAAAGGTTATCATTCACTGGGTTTTAATTTTGCTTATTTCGCTGACTTGGAAAACGCTAAATTAAAACCTAGTGAATATGTAAAACTGAGCATAGAACGCATTATCTAAATGAATTTTGTGAATTTAAAACCCACTGAATATGCCTGAAATGCGAAATCAGTGAAATTTAAACCCAGTGAAAATTTGTAATTTTACAGTATTTTGCAACCCAACATGGTGCACTGGGTTGCGAGGTTAAAAAAAAAATTCACATTTCCTTACATCGTTGGAAGCAGATACAGTAAAAATGATGGCACGCTGTTGAGAGGTAATCAACATCAAGACTGGAAAATCTGTGATATCTTTGTATATTTATAGCGATTGAATTGAAAAACTGGAATCACAATTATATCAGTGAGATATCACATGTTTTCATGAAGTTTGGTCAATTGTTGTATGCAGTGCCATGAAATAACACAGAATAAACAAAGTTACTCTTTTATTGTGAAATTTATTAAATACATTTGTACTTAAACTAAATAACTTGACATATTCTTAATAGTAATGAAATCTGTTTTCGTTTCCAAAGTTCACTCAAAGTTAAAGGGCCATAAGCCATATTATTTTCTGACAAAAATGAATATCGAGTAAACAAACCAACCCAAGTAAACATGGAATAATAAGTGAGATCACATGGCATACAGTGAAGATTGGTATTTAGGCGTCATTTTTAAAACATTTTTTTTTAGTTGCTGGCGCTGATAAAAATACTATGTTCATATAGTGACAAGCGTGAATGGGAAAAACCTGTTATCACCATGAAAAGTATTTCATACTTTTCAAAATTATTAATTTCCTGGTTGTGAGAACAAAAAAAATGGAATTTCCCAGTCTGTTTAATATATAAACTTTAAAATTCTACAAAATTAAAACTAAAGCACATTACCAAGTATATTTTTTGTTACCATGGTGAAATATCGCTAAACTGCTAGAGACGTCAATTTTACTGTGACCGCAAGAAAGATCGCCAACATCGCAGTGTGAGAAATTGTTTTCCTAACAAAATAGCTGGGTTACACAAAGTATCGCCCCAGGACGCAATGGCTACATTGTAAGCAATACAGCTACACCATTACCAAAAACAGTGTCTCATACTGCAATATTGCCAATCCATTCTTTCTTACAGCCACAGTAAAACTAAATGTTGGCCTTTCACTTTAGTCCAATGCTTGAATTAGTATAGATACAGTGCTTAAGGATATTGATATTGCCAGAAATGATTTCCATGTGTCTGTCTAGGTATTGTTTACATGTGACAGGTCAGCGCATCCAAATATGATTTACGTAGGTGGCAGTAAAATATCATGGATCCAGATTTTCTTGTGGCGAAAGGCTCCTGTCTTGATGGTCATCTTCATTGTCTTGGCGGTGGTGGTGGTGGCGCTGCTGGTCGGAATGATCTAGGTGGAGGTGGGGGTCTCATTCCTGGACGCATTCCACCACGCGGAGGTCCTGCAAAATGCAATAAGGTAAAAAAGTTGTACATAGCATAAACATTACATCATACATTTAATGTGCATCATGTACGACAATTTTTAATATTGTATTCCATTCGACCAGTGACAGGGGACAATCTCACAATGTTGCATATTTGATATGCGACTTGATGGATATTACAACATTGTTAATTGTAACTAATGTGTGTTCAACTGAAATGTTCGTGCTGTGTATTTTCTTTGATGTTCATCCATGTTGCTTTGTAATTTCTTTTCGAACATTTTCGACCAAGCATGAATTTCAGTAAATTAAATCAGCTAAGACCCTCTCCTACCAAATAAAGAAATTACGCTTTCCGAGCTTCTTGAACAATATAAAATCATCCTATATGTTACTATATATACTGCTTAACTAATCATTTGATGGGTATAAATACAAAAACACAAATAGAATTGTAAAATCACAATAAAACCAAATTACAGAAGGGTTTTGCGTGTCTGTTGAAGTTTTGTAAATAACGTCAATGAAGGACACTACACTACATTGGGTTTCTCTGCAACGGTCACATTTGAATTCCAAGATCTACTACACAGATAAACTGAACAAAAGTTTTCCATCGAATTGAGAAGTACCTACGAAGGTACTGTGTACTGTCAGTTTTTAAATAAAACGTGATCCGTCACCAGTGAATTAACGACAAATAAATCAAATACTGTTCTGACGAAAGTATAAAGAAACAGTGCCTTTTATCATTCAGGGCAATGGCACCTGTGATTATACCCCGATTTTTGTGTTTTTTCCTCACCAAAGCTGTATGCCGGTCAGCATGCTGTGTATCATGTTGGATGCAAGTCCCATGTCACAAGGTACAAAATACATTGTTTACACAAAATTCTAACGCACACTGTGTGGCAACCGGTTTCACTAAAAATACTGTCCTGCGCATTGTACGCTATTGCATAACTATCACATCATAAACTATACTTCTGTAGCACAACAATATCAAAAGGTATCGCGGATACTTTATAAATACACCTAATGGGTGGTGTTCATCATGCAGAGTGTTCGATTTTTGTGTAAATAAACAGTTTTACATGCGTTACATGCATCAAACACAATGTGGTAGGGACAGCGACTACCACTAACAATTCTCGCTTGTTGGCCAGGTTAATAATGGTATCAATACAGTAAAGTGCTAAGACAATGTTTACATACTCACCATTGAATTGAGGAGGTCTTGGTGGCATTGATCCATCAAACGGTCCTCTCATGTGAGGAGGAGGGGGAAACATGCCCGGGGGTGGCATACCTGGAGGTGGTGGTCCTGAAATAACAAGTGTCAAGGTTATTTTTAAGAGATATTCAACAACACCAGTTTTCCTTATTTCATCCACAAACAAATTGTCACCTGATCTGAAAGTGGGAGATTCATTTTTTCTCTAAATGATACAGCTAGGAATGCACTTGAGATACAATAGCAATAGTGGCTAATAACACTTTCTACTAAAGTGCTGGTGAAAAATTGAAAGTTACCTGCCACGGTACCGGTACATGTACAAAATATTGAGGAATTTTAAAACACTGTAACAATCTTGAGTGTGCTATCTGTGCCGATATATCTATAACTATTGAGTCATTCTCCTAGCCTGGGTTTGTTGTTGCTCAAAAACAAGTTGATTTATATGTCATATCATGTCATGATATGAATTAACAAAGCTGTAGAACATGATTACAATAATTTCTTTCATTTTTCCGTATTTGCTCTATTAGTATATTAACGTATATATACCGGGGTACTTGCGTATATTACAGGTATCAAAATGACCAATATTTTAATTACACAGTTTAAAATCAAAGAAAGCTTAGAAAGAACTCCCATGTGCTGAGAGTATTGGAGACACATTAAATATAATTCGAAATTACTTAGCTGAAAACTAATTATGCAAATCAGAAAATTAATATGACCAGATTTGAGTGTAAAACTAATGAGGTCTGCGTAATGTAACAGAAAATCTATGTCTCCAAGTTTAATTGAAATGTGATTAGAACCAAAAAATTATGAATTATTATGCTTATTAGGGAATTAATATGAACAGATTTTTACCCCAAACTAA